CGTTGCTGTCAGCAACCCAAGTATTGGCGACGTTCAAACCCGAGTCAACGCATGTTTTATGAAAGCGCTCTCCAGGAAGATCCCGGTTTTGTATGAAGCCCATCTGTGCGACCGAAGCTGAGACCATTGAGCCAACCCTAGCATTGGCATCGATCATTACCAAGTCAGGGGGGTATTTCTCAAAAAGGCCCCCCAGATCACTCCAAAACTTGCGCGCGCGCGCTCTGGGTGCCCGGGAGTGGGGAGCATGGGCGACGCAAATGTTCGCGGCCAACCCTGGGGCCCTCAGTGCAACGAGAAGTACGCGAGGGGAAGCAAACATAGTCCTGAAATGGTTTTGCCTGGGACAAAGATCCTGGCTCCCCTTGCGCCCATATGGGCATTGGAGGTTGGCCCACAACTCGACTCTCAAACCCATATCTGGTGAGGAAGTGTCACAGCCCGGGGACAAGACAACAACAAAAAAAAAAAAAAAAAAAAAAAAAAAAAAAAAAAAAAAAAAAAAAAAAAAAAAAAAAAAAAAAAAAAAAAAAAAAAAAAAAAAAAAAAAAAACCTTGCAGGGTCTTTCCCCCTTGGGGATCCAGGTCTCTTGTAATCCAATCAAATGCGCATACATGTGCTGATGCTGGCAGCGCATCAGCTCGGACCTAAGTCAACGTTTTTCCCGAGGGTCCCATAAGTGCCCCTCTGGGTGATGGACTTGACATTGTACTGAACATATTATAGTTTGACACGGGACTTGGAAGGCTTGGTGCTGGCGGTAACACAGGGAGGGTCCTGAACGTGTTCCACCGAGGCCCTCGGCATGAAACGCTGCCAACTCCACCCTTCATTCCAAACAGGATAGGCTGCCAAGACGTCGGGGGGGGGGGCATCGCGAATCCATTCCCATTCCCTGGTCCTGGAAAATTGGGTGATTGAAACAAGCTGCTCGGGAAATTGCGAGGCAGGTATAATTTCATCTGCGGTCCAAACGGCAACCCGATCCGCCATATCATTCCAGGGATGGCCGCCATGGCCTTTAACGTGATAAAGCCCCAGGGACCTCCCTCTAGAAGCAACTTCCCAAACAATCCTGGTTGTAATCGCCAAGGGTCCTAGATCAGTGGGTCGGTAGCCGCTGATGGCCGTGACCGCGTTCAGCGAGTCCGCGTGGATGCTGGCGCCCCTGATGCTGGCGTCGGCGACGGTAGCTAGTAGGGCCCATATTACTCCAACATATTATGCATATGTGCTGGTGGTGTGGTCATGCCGCAATCTTGTCCTACAGGTGTCCCTAACCCACCCAGACAGACGGCTTCGGCAAGAAAAACCATGATGGCCTTGAGCTGCCTCCACTAGCCCCCATGTAGCAACGTCAAGTTGTTGGGCCTTCACAGACCCGTCGGTATGATCATGTTTAGCCAGCCGTGTGGATTCACGACGCGGACGCGTGCTGAGTGCAATTCTGACGTGCGATGGAAACTCAAAGATGTTGAAATCGCATCTCCATGTGAACGCCCCGTGCTCCAGAACTGTTGTTAGAATGTCGGGTAGTGGATCCATGCGGCATGCTAGTTGCGCAGCGGGGACAGGCACTGGTGCTGGGAGACTATCAGGGCCAGCAGCAGGGCGTGAGGGAGTGGGAATAGTCGATCCACTAGTGTCGCTCCTACTGACATGAGAATGTGAGGGTGTCGAGAGGGAAATTGACCCCCCCCCAGGAGGGTCGAAACAAAAATGGGGGCATGCAACACGACCTGGCCACACTGCAACGATCGGCGTAGCATGCGCAGATTCGTGAATATTTCACCTGCGCGAGGAGGAGAGATGCCTGAAGCCCGAGAAGAGACTGCCATGCCAAAGTCTGGGCCGTGGTGTGTACGCTCGCACAAACCCGTGGCGATGCGCTTTCACTCGGCCAGGCCTGAAGTAGCATGTCCGAGCAGAAGTCATATAACTCCTGAAGATCGTCTGGCATGCTGCCGCGACTACACACTGGAACTGAGCAGGGCATCTCAATGTCGTAGCTCGAATGTATAGTGTGTAAGCAAGCTCCTTTAAGAAGCTTGCCTGCTGGCACCGGGGTGGCCGCGGCCCCAGGACCCCCAGGAGCGCCAGACAGTTGGGTTTCGAGCGACGACAACAGTAGGCCACTATCTGCATGCGAGGCTGCCCGCACAGCAGAGGACCAAAAGCAAAGAGCAGATGCGCTAACCGTATCAGTGTATCTATTGCCCCATCCCCACCCTCCTGCGTCAATCCCGTAACCCTCGGAACCTTCGTCTAGCCAGTGGGGGGGGGGGCGATGCGCCGCGTCGAGGTTAGTGCGAGCAGGACGCTGGCCGCTACTGGACCCGAGCAGCTGCGTCCTATAGACAAATCGGCGAAACAGGATAGCGCCGGTGACTTGCCAAACCTGGAAAAACTCATGAATGCTGAACATGCCCTGGGAATTCCTTTTTTCACCATGCGCTGTTGGGCGGAGGCGGTGGAGCCAACGTGGTTGCCCGACGCTGCATCGACAGCCGCTCCTCCTCTGCTAGATTGAACAAAATGTAGGCTTGCCTCCCCCTCAGGTTCGGCTTCCGAAACTGCTGCGCATTGTTGCACGCATGAGGCGCCATTGCTGGGATGAGAAGGTGGGGCCTTGAGGATGGACCTGATGGGACCCCGTCTGAAGGAGGAAGGAGGAGGTGAGGACCTGAGCCCGTCCGCATCATATAAAATGAGCTGCCGGCCACCCCAATTCAGAACTCGTCGCTGTCGGTTCACAGCTCTACTCGAGCTTCTTTGCGTGGAGGACTGGCAGCGTCGGCGTCCTTCTCCGCAGATGCCTTGTCGATCTCCTCGGCCCTCGCCCTCGCCTGCGAAGCTGAGAGAGGGCTTTCTGGTACTGGCATTGCCGTTGCCCGGCCATTGAGGCTCGAGTCCATGGATTTCCTGGGCTCGTGACGGATTCCTTTGGAACCTCCAAAAGTGGATCCTCCTGTGGCTCGTGACACATCGGCTGCGCGGGTGAAATCTGATCCGCGCATGCGACCTGAGTAGCTCCATTGTCGTCCACTACATATACGGTCCGTGATTTCGCTACTCGTGTATGTGCCACAGGTGTGGGAGATGCTGCTGGTGGCGGCGTTGGATGTTGGTATGTTGGCGAAGGCTGCGCCGCAGGCGCCGATGTGGGCGAGTAAGCCCTGGGACGGCATTGTGGTGTCTTTGGCGCGTCGGAGGCCACAGCTGCGGTGGGCCCTGCCTCCCTGGGAGCCCCCGCAATAAAAACTCCTGCGCCGCCCGTCTGCAGACCAGTAGCTGAACTAGTAGCCGAACCAGTAGCTGCACCAGTAACTGCATCACCAATGTCTGAACCAGTAGTCATCCCACAAGTAGCTGCACCAATAGCTGCACCAGTAGCTGAACAAGTAGTGGGTCCACCTGTAGCTGAACCAGTCGACATCACACCCATGGCTGTGCCCATTCCCATGACATAGTGAGCCATACTACTGAGCACGTTATCTGTAGCCTGTTGCTTGTTCATCATACCCTGCATGATCTGTATTACACTGTCCAACTGATTGGTTGGTATGTCCCCAGTTGGAGGTGGAGGTACATGAGCTGGCTGAAAGGCTTCTGCGGCATGTGGTACACTCGGCGGGAAGGGCTGCGCTGGCTGAACTGAGCCTGCAAAGGACGGCTGCCCTGAGCCTGAAGCTCTCTCAGTTGGATGCCCTCCCGCTGGATACTGTCTAGTCCCCACAGCACACTTGATTCGCTCTTTGTCTCGATCAGAATTGCGAGTTGTATGAATCTCATGCTGCACAGGACCACCTCTCATAGCATGGGTTCCAGCTGCGTTGTTCGTTGGATCCGCGCTAATACCCATTTCGTCGTCGGAATCCTCACTCTCAAACTCAATGATGGATGAGCGCACCTGGTCCAGTTCCCTGCCGACTTGAACTAAATCTTCCTGCATGCTCCATATTTGTTCTTGCAGACTTTTGGCACGATCTTGGATATTTTCCTTCTTGATTTTCAGCTCGCTAATCTGCTTGTTCGTGGATTCCGTATTAGCCAACAAATATTTTAGAACAGCAACATCAAACATGATATTCCACCGTACTCTTGCCAAGGTCCTTAGTAGCCAATGCCTGCTTTCCTAGCCCAAACAGCCTTTGCCGAATGCGCTCCTTGTATGCTTTGATGTCTTGAATGTTGGAAGGATGATTCAACTCATGGCGGAGCGTAGGATGCATCTCGGCGTCAGCTCGTGTGGCGACGATATCTTGCTGTTGTACTGCTTGATGGCATCCTTTTCTTGTTTACGAGGATCTGGCCTGGACCTGCTCTAACGAAGTGACCTCCCTGCCGAGGCTTTTCCTGTTCATTGACGCACTTCTGTCCGCATAAGCACGACCAATGGTGTCCTTTGACATACCGACCACATCGTAGACAATCCCACAACACACTTGGTCCAGAAATCCGACCACCTTGAGGCCTCGTTCCTCCAAACATGGTGCTGTGATGAGCCCTGAGTAGTGACCTGCTGGCCAACGCACGCAGTAGTAGTCGGGCCCTAGCACGTTGAAGGCGTGCCCGCCTATGCCACGATTTCTCTGTTGAAGGAATTGTCAAAGCTTCGTCGCGGCAGCTTCTCCCAAGGTAAGAGAGAGAACAAAAGTGAGTGACTGCCCGCCTGAGGCAGGCCCAGATGGTCTCGGACGGAAAATCTCTGGCCTCCCAGATGCCAAAATGGTTCCGGGCCAAATGCCTTCCTCCTCCTCCTCCTCCTCCTCCTCATCCTCCGCTTCCTCCACCCACTCCTAGCCCTTTCGATCAGGGTCGGCGGCACCGGCCGTCAGGCCTCTCCAATAATATTGCGCCTACATGTAACAGAAATCGAGGAAGGATTACACGGCAACGATTCGATGAATCAACCTGTAGATCTACTAGCGCTGTGATGTAAGATGGTGACTCTAATGATCATGCCTTCCTCCCATCTTTCACACCATGACCCGCGGTCCTCTTTTGTGTGCGCGAAGGGGCACCATTCGCCGAGCCTCGCAGCGCCAGCTCACGAAATCCGCCGACCCTGTCGGAGTATGGAAGGCGTATGGAAGAGGTTGTTCCGTTTGACTCGTCGTCGTCGTCGTCGTGGTCGTTGTCGTCGTCGTCGTCGCCTTCGCCGCTAGCTTCCCCCCCCCTTTCCCTGGGCCCGTCGCCGTTCCCCCCATTTTCACCAGGTTCTCCTCCTCGAGCGCGCCAGCCACAGCGAAATTGAGCAACGTTTTAGTTGAGTCGAAGGGATAGCCCCTTCCCTTTGATCCCTTCCCCGCCGAGGGGGGGGCTCCCGGGGGTGAGGTTCCCCAGGGGGGGGTTCCCGGGGGAGGGGTCTCCCGGGGAGGTTCCGCTACACATACAACTCCCCCTCGGGCGGTTTGGCGGCCAAGAAAAGGCGCAGGACGCGGCAAAACTGCCCCAAGATGCCCCCAAGACGGTCCTCGAGGGCCTCGAATCGCCGAAGTATCGGTCCAAGTCGCCAGTAGCCTACAGCGGCTCAAAAGGTTTCTAAAACGCCCCAAGAGGCCTCCAAGAGGACTTCCAAGATGGTCCCAAGGAGCAAAAATCACTGATTTCCCGTGAATTGTTGAAAGGTTTCGGCATTCTCGCCTTGTCAGCTTCCCGACGTTTCAAGGCAGGCCAAAAAGCCCCCAAAACCGGCCCAAGATGGCCCAAGAGGCCTCCAAGAAAGCCCCGAAACGATCCAAGAGGGCCCCGACACCGCGACCAAGAGGCCTACAAAACAGCCGAAGAGGCCCCCAAAACGGCTCCAAGGATGAGCCCAAACGGGAGACCCGAACGGACATTTCGAGCCCTCGGCCTGAGAAGTTCTCAGGAGGCCCCCAGAGGTCCCTAGGAAGCCCCCCAAAAGCCTCAAAAAGCCCCCAAGTGACCCCCAGGAAGCCCTACGAGGCCCCCACGAGGCTTCCAAGCGGCCCCAAAGAGCTTCCAAGAGGCCCCCAAACTACCCCCAAGAGGCACCCGAGAGGGCTCGTCGTCGTCGTCGTCGCCATTCAGGGTCGGCGGCGCCGGCCGCAAGGCCTTCGCAATATCTCATTCTGTCAAGCATCACGCGTCAGAGCTGGAGGGTCCCGAAACTTGGATAACCATGATGTCCCTGCTCGCATATGTTCAATGCTCTTCGTGGCTCCGCTGCAACTTTGCCGCAAATATATGACGCCTCAGCTGCGTTCCGCGCAATCCTGTTATGTAGAATGGGCATCCGACCGAGACGGGAAAGCCAGCTGAAGTCTCTACATTGCCATGGTATGCCTCATTACGCATGCTTCTCTCTGCGTATACGTCAGTGCGGCTGCATACACACACATTCACACGCACACACGCACACACGAATCGACACATTCGTGTTCACCGGCGGTGCGTTTCCAGGGCCTCCCTGGGGAACCTGCACGTTCTCTTCTTCTTGAAGTAGATGCAGAACTTCGTCTTCTTGAACTGGCCCTCTGGCGCACGCTGAAGAAAAAGTGCACACAACAAGTTATTCTCCTCATCCGAATCCTAATCCTCATCATGTTCCTTCTCCTGCTACTGTTCCTCCTCCCTCTCCTCCTCCACCTCCTCAACCTCCCCCATACAGCTACTCCTTCCCCACCCCTCCCCATTATAAGCCGCACCCGCCCTTTAGGGCGGAGGTGGTTTAGGGCGTTTCCTCTTCCATGTGCTTCGACGCCCGGCTTCCATTGATTCATTCTTTCAGTTCAGCACCCGCCACGGATGTGTCATCGCTTTTCTGTTCGACCTCCCGCGGCATCAAAGCAGCAGCGGCGGCAGGGCACAATCCTGGTAGCGACGAGCGCCCATGCGCGTCGCGCCCAGAGGATGGGCGCGACGCGCCCCCTCGCGAGCGCCGCAGCAGGGGCAGAGCCCACTGCGGCGCGGCACCGCTACCGCGGTGGACACCACCGCGGCGCGCGGCGAGGGAGCAGCGCACGGGCTTGACACCCCTGAACGCAACGCCACCGTCGCACCCAACACGCGCAACACAGCGCGCCAGGTGTGGGTGGGTGGGGAAACCCAACAGGCAGCGGGCCTGCGCGCGCCCGCGGCACTTGCGAACGCCTGCGCCGCGACGCGGCGCGCCCGCGCCCCCGACGGGTCGCGCGCGCACCTGCGAGCCCCGCCCGCGCAGCGTCGCAACGAGGGCGCGCGCGCGCGCACGGCCCCCCCCCCTTCGCGCGCGCGCCTGCCGCAGGACGCGCACGGCGCGCGTCGCCCGCCGGCCGCGCGCGCCCCCACGCTGCCCCCCCAGCGGATTGTGCCCGCGAACAAGCGAGCTTGAGAGCCTACCACAATCCTGGCGGCGACGAGCGCCCAGGCGCGTCACGCCCAGACGATGGGCGCGACGCGCCCCCTCGCGAGCGCCGCAGCACGGGAAGAGCCCAATGCGGCGCGGCGCCGCAGCCGCGGTGGAGACCGCCGCGGCGCGAGGCGAGGGGGCAGCGCACGGGCCCGACACCCGCTGCGAACCCGAACGCTGCTACCGACGACGCCGGACACCCAATGTAGGCCGCGCGCGACGGCAGCTGCGCACGCGCGGAAACGCGGTCCGCTCAGGGGGCACGCGCGGAAACATGGCCCGCTGAAGGCCGACCAAAGGGGGCGGCGGGCGCGGATGCTAGCCACGCCGCCTCCCTGGTGGCAGCGCACACGGCCCCGACCGCACTGGGCGACGGAGCCAGCCACCGCCGGCGCGCTCGCTCCCCTGACGCGAGAGCTAACCCGGCACGCGCGCAGGTGCATGGCCTGCCTGCAGCGCCTCCAGCACGGCGTCGCCCTCGAGCTCTTCTCGATCCACGCAATCGAGGAACGCGCCCGAACGCCAGCAGCCCGCGCGGAGAATCTCCTCAGCGAGCCTACCACCTCTGCGGCGCAAGGTCTCCGCGTGGCCACGCTGGAAAGACCTCGTGCAAAGTGCGCGGAGTCGCGCTCGCCGGCATCATGGGCGAGCCGCCGCACCAAGCCGAAAACGCACCCGCTTGACAGGTGCGCAAACGGCGCGGCGCCCACCGGCGCGCGGTCGAAGATGGCACCGAGGGCGTGTACGGGGCAAGTGGTCTTGCACGCCGCGCACCAACACCTGCGCACAGTGCGCGAGGGATGGTCGACGTGCTTGCGCCTACTCAAATGCAAGGTGACACGCCCGCCGTCAAAGAATAATACTGCGCGTGCCTTGCGCGCGCGACAATCCTCGTCAGAGAAGGAGAAGGACGCGGCCATGCGCGGGCCCCCCTGTTCGATTCCGAAGCCCTCCGACGGCGCTCTAAGAGCGAACGCGAAAGCCGCGACGAAAAGACCCCGGGGGGCCTCGCCGGGCACGCGCGCAAGCATGTCGACTAAGAGCCGATGGCCGATCGCGGGCTTCAGCGCCGGCTCGTCGCGCAGGCGCTCGCGCCGCTCGCTTCCGCGCTGTCGAAAGCACTGCAGTCAAGGCGCAGTCGCCTGCAGGCCTTGTGGACCTGTGCCTTGTACTTGCCAAACGTGGGCCTGTGGACCCGCGTCTTGTGGACCGCGCGAAAATGCGCGACCCACAGCGCGAGTTCAGAAGGGGAGAGCGGCAGCGCGTCGTTGTCGCACTCGCCAAGAACCTCGCCGGCGAACGCATGGCATTGGCGCGGGGCGCTGCGCCGCGTGCCGAAGGATGCCGGCGCCCTGCCCACGAGGGCCGTCGCGCGCGCAGCCTCCAGCCGCGCGGCCCGCTGCGCTTCCGAAAGGTGGCCGCGCGCCTCGGCCGCTGCCCGCGCGCTCGCCGCTGGCCCAGCCCGCGCGCGGCTGGCGCGCTCGCGCTCAAAGTACACGGCGGCAGGGCAAGCGCGGGCTAGCGCCGCGCGCTGCGAAGGCCTTGCACGTGGTGCCGACTCAGCGGAGGAGTCCGAGCTCGACGAAACAGACTCGGCGTCGAGGCGCGTAGCGGGCTGACGCTGTCGCGCGACGGCGGAATCCCCGACCGCACTGGCCCCGCGGACTCCGGGCGGCGGTGGCCCCGCCGGAGAGGCGCACCGCTGCGCGGCGCGCAACAGTCTCATGCACGTGTCGGTTGCCGCCTGCGCGATGGGGCTGGGCGACTGGGCGGCTCGCACCCGCTCGCGCGCCTGGCTGCCGGGCCACTGCTGGCTGTCTGGCGCTCCTCTGACGTCGTCGAGCGACCAGACGTCGTTGGCGACGCGGAGCCGCACCGCTTCGCGCATGGCGGCTGCGCCGAATGAAAGAAAGCGACGAGCAAGGGCGTCGTGAAGACTCATGGCTCGGCCCCCCGCGCCGCGCACTCCTAGGAACTTGCTTGCGCGCACGGCGACCGCTGAACGCGCGCGGCGCCACGGTGTTACGCGCGACCCACGCAGTGGGCGCGCTGCCCTTGCTCGACTGACAAAGCCACGCGAACGTTGCCCGCGCGCGATCTGTCGCGCCGATTTGGCACGCCGGCGCGCACGGGAAAGGCATCGACCCCCACAGGGCGGGCACGCAAAACGCCTCGCCCAGGCGCGGCTCGACCCGCACGGCGCCCAATTGCTGCAACAGCCCGAGTTCCCCCCGGGACGGGTCGCCCGCGAAATTCTCGTCCGTCGGCACCCGTTCAACACGGACGAGGCAGCGAAGGCGCGCAATCTTGGCCCAGAGACAACGCGCCAGGCACCCCTGATCGAACGCGCGCGCGGCGCCGCGGCCGGCGACGGCCTGCGCGCCCGCATTGCCCGACCAAATCACGACCCGGCGACGCCGAATCGCCGACCCGAACGGGCACGGACCAAGGGCGATGCTTAGCATTTCCAGACCCATGATCTGGCCCCCCCCTGGGCTGGAACGCGCGCAGAGTCCTGGCGAGCGCGCGGTCGCGAAGCGTGAGCAACTGGCCAGGGCGCGCCCTGCCGTTCCTGGCGGCGGGCGGCATGCTCGTCCAATTGCATTCCCCGTCGATGAGCAGCACGGCCGCCACCGTGGGCGGGCAGCCAGCCGCGTCGCAGAAGAGATGCAACACAGAGCCCGCCACGTCGCTGCGCCAGTTGCGAGACTGCGCCAGCGCGTCGCCCAACGCGATGAGCCACCAATGCAGCGAGAGGCGCAGCTCCCGAGTCATGGCCGGGCATTTGCGACACGCCCGCGCGAAGATCGGCCTGGGAGGCCGAACCGGAAGCGGCGGAGGGCAGGCGGCGCGCGCTGCCGGGCCCGCGCCCGAGCATTGCCCGCCCCGCGCGATAGAACATGTTGCCCACGGCCCAGGACAGAGCGCCCGCTAGTTTGCCGGCGCCCCCTGGCCGCGCGCGCCGCGGCGCCGAAATGCGGGAGAGGGTCGCTGCGCCTGCTCGCGGATTCCCGGAATCCAGCGCCGCCTGGATCTTCGCGGTCCACTTGGTAACCTTGTCCGGCAGCGGCACGCACGTTGCCCTCTGCCGAGAGATCAACGCGAAGCCCCAAGATGCCGAGCGGGACTGCGCATGACATTTTCTCGTCGGCAAGCGCGGAATAGCCCGGCAAACACCGCGCGACGCGGGCGACGCAGCCCAACAGAAGTTCGACCTCCCGCGCGACAGCCAGCCGGCGGCAAACGGGGCGCCTGCCGGCAGCCCAGTCTGCGCCTCGGCGCGCCTCTCGGCGCCGGACATGTCGCCCACGTAACGAAGTAAAGCCGCGTAAAGCACTCGACGTAGAATCACGCAAATGAGAGCGCCGATGCGCTCCCAATTGCGTGCGCTTGCGACTGCGCGAGGCGGATGGCCCGGCCCCGCCCGCGTCGGAGGCGCGCGGCGCGCCTGCCCGAATACGCACGCACAGTGGGCGCGCGCCGTGATCTCGCCGCTGCGCCAGAGCATGACGCGCAATAGCTCCCGATGCTCTGACCGCAGCGGGATCCGCCGGAAGGCGGCGTCGAAGCTCGAACAAGCGCGGGACCTCCGAGACCTGCCGACCACGGCGCGGCGCGCACACCGCCCTCGCGCGCGCGCGGCGCGGCGCGCGCCTCCTCAATGAAGAATCTGTACAATTCGAATAAATGGTCGATGGTCTCGCGCCGCATGCGTTCACGCGGCCGCGCGGCACAACTGATGCCCGCAATCGAGCAATCGTCCACAGCGCACCAATCGCACGGCAGACGCGGCGCGCGCGCGGCGGCGATGAACGCGCTGCCAACGTTCCTTGCGGGAGCCGTCACTTTTGACGCCCTGTTCGGCGCCGAACCAGGGAACGAGCACGACGTTGCCCAGATCGAGGTCAGACAGGCGCTCGGGCGCCCCCATGCGCCACAATTGGACATCCTTGTTGGTGATTTCCCATAATTGGGCGGCGTTCGCGTCGGCACGCAGCCGCGCGGCGATGCGTTTATTCGCGGCCTCGGCGCCTGCGCATCGCGCAAAACGGTGCGCGCGCCGGATCCGAAAACGCAGTGCGGGCAAGGACTTCCTATGAGGGCCTCGAGCGGTTTGGCCCTTGGGAAGGAATCTGGCGCGCCG